CAATGCCATTTTTCCACCCTGGGCGAACTGCGGCGCAGCGCCAGCCAGGTGGAAGTTTTTCACAGCGGCGCCCATGATTAGAGCCGGCGCTGGAAAGAAAGATGGGGAGGGAGCATGAAAAGGAGCGAGGGGGGAGAGGCCCCCAAAAAGTCCCCGAGAGGCCCAAGGAAGCTCCCAGGCAGCCTCCAGGAGGCCCCCAAGAGGCCCCCAAGAGGCTCCGCGACGACGTGACTGCACGCGCTCCGGACGTGCACCCCGCGAAGCGAAAGGAATCTTTCTCCGTCAGCTGCTCAAGATATGGCGTAGCATTGGGAGCAGCACGGTGACCCCGACCATCTCCATGAGACCAAACCCACGGCGTTCTTTTGAAATTCGGGCATCTTGATGGGCGTCTCATGGGGCAGCCGAGCTTGTGATCAGGATAGCTGGGGCATGTACGACAAACGCCTCTGTTGAGCTTTCGATCCTCGATGGTGGCTCTCTTGTGGTCGCGCATGACAATCTATTCTTGCGATTTGGTAGGCCCCGCCTCTGAGCGTATGCTATTGCCCGCGTCATCTCGTTTGACCTGGCGAAGAGAATACCAGTGCCGGATTTGATGCTCGGTCCAGCCCTGTTCCAACCATTATTGCATCTGGTCTGCGGGTATGTATTGACGAGCAAATCCAGCTTCAGCGTAGCCTTTCAGACGCTGTATGTCGCCTTCTGGATATTCTCCACCTCGCTGTTGGTCGTCTCGAGGCAGGTTTTCCCGCAGACGACCCCTCCCGGGGGGCATGTGGTCTAGTCGCCCCCCATGGCGGGGCCCTTGGGGTCCCCGCATCAGGAGGATGAGGACGCTGAACACCTCTCGAACGAGCACCGCTAGAGCGGGCTCGCATACGACCCGGTGAGTGGCTGGGAGCCCGACCGCGACGTATCACGCGGTCATCGTCTCCCCGTTCGTCCTCCTCGTCCACTGGGGAGAGACTTGGGTCGTCATGGTAACTCTTCTTCACCCAGGCTTGGCGACTTGGCGATCGCCTCTGGCGGCTGGCGGATCGATCCGGCGCAACAAAAGCATGCTGAAATTCTTAATTATGGCCAAGCTCATATTGAATGCACTCAGATAGATCACCAGCGTCGCGCGGGTTTCCCCGCAGAGGATCACCATCGATTAATCCCATGTTTGTCGGATTTCCAACCACCCGAGGATAGAGCATCGCATGTATTTCCTCAGCTGTTGCAGGAATGGTAGAGTCTGAGTCCGCGGGTGCCCCCGCCATGCCAAAGTCACCTTCGACGGGCATGGAAGTTCTCGACAAACTCAATATCTGCAGGTTGCCTCGCGATGGGTATACCCAGCCATTCTGCCAAGTCGACGTCGCTGTGGCCAGTGGACACCTCCTCGAACAGCTCGTCGGCGTAACTCTCGAGGGTCATGCTGGCACTTAGATACCTGGCAGCTATGGAATGAACAATTGTGGCTGGGCCGTCGGCAGGGTCGGCTAAGAGCGACTCCCAATCAACATGCTGCATGCCGGAGTCCGTTTGAGCCAGATGCATTGACGGACCCCTGCCTATTCCATCACCTTGGGGGCACTCGCGTCGGAAATGTTGTGTACTGTGACATATGTCGCACTCCATAGTTTTACCGTTGGCATCCTTTGGATTTCCTCGTCGTCCTTTACCTTTGCCTGATGCATGCCTGCGGTTTCTGCCAGTGCCTAAAAACATCTCTTCATACTGAGGCCCAGTAAGAGACGCTAGGAATGCTAGTATTCCCCTACCATGTAATCGCCGACGCTTACCTCTGCCTCTACTTCGACCCTTGCCTTTTCCTTTAAGTGACCGTCGTACAATACGTCTTACCTTTCGGGCTGGTTTCTTCATGAACCTCCGCCAACGACGCTTGTGTTTTTCGCTGCCCAAAAATAACCATTGAGCTTGTTGCTCTTCAGTAAGGTATGTAGGCGTATCAGAGTAATCCAGGGCGGTAGCTTCGTCATCTGAAGACGGTTCCGCATCGGTACCGGAGTCGAAGTCGGACTCGGCGGGTTGCCCCGTTGAGCCCAGTAAGGTCATGGCTTGCATAGGGGAGACCGCGTCAGGCGGTCCCCTAGGACTGGCCCGGGAGTCTTGCGACCATGGGGCCGTTCCACCATTCTGAGCCAACAATGTAGTGGTCTCAGTTGGCTGTGGATCATCAATCCAGGCGTTGTTAGCAGGTTGCCCTGCGTTGGCCCCTACGTGGGAGGTCTCGGTTCGGTGACCGCGGCTACAGATACCACCACTATTGCCAGGGGTCCTCTCCGCTATGTGAGCATATGACCTCATACGTTCAAGTCGAGCGTCAAATTGTTGTTGGTCCCTCGGCACGTGGTGGTTCAGAGGCTGCAAGAGTTGTTGTGCACGCGATGTCCCCACTCCAAGAGCTCTGAATATAATTACTGCTAGGATGTGGAAGTTGGGGATATTGAAGCCGGCGGTTTCAGCTTCGTAGCGGGCTATCTCGAATCGTGCGAACGTCTGGTCGATACGTTCACCCGCATGGACTCGAAAGTCAATAAGAGCCGTACCAGAACTGAGTTGGCGTTCCTCTTCTAGGTTCTCGAACTTCGCGCTTAAAGGCAACATGATGTAGGTGACGCCGTCGGTGTGGCGATCGCCTATATTGACGCCAAAATTAATAACTGCTGGGGGGACTCTCATGGCTATGGTCCGTGCGAGACCTCCCAAACCTCGCTGCAATGCTGCGGTTTGCTGGGAGGGCGTCATATTGCCTGTGGTCACATTGATCCAGGCATGTACTTCGCGGACGAACTCGCGAGAAAGTACTTGACCGGCAGGGCCCCGATGGGGGCAAGTCGTTCTTGTGTCGTCTCCGCCCCGCATATGTCCGACCGCACACCCAATAGCGACCCATATGAACCCCAAAATAGTAGCCCCAATCCAATGGCCTCGTAGGTCGTAGTCGGATGTATGTCGGTTGGGACGTATGTTGTTTCGTCGTAGGTCTGCGTGGGGTCTGAAGCGGCAGTATGTCGTATCGCCTGGTTCCATGCATTATGTCTTTGAAGAAATTTCCAGTTGGAGTAGGTGGGTGGACTTTAGGAGTGTAGTAGCACAGGGATGTAAGATGTGGGTGAGAAACCTCCGCTTGGACAGAGGTATCGCTGCAAGCTTCCTTGCGGTACTGCCTACTTATATACATTCCTCCGCGCAAACCCACTGCACCCTGATGTTCCACCATTCTTGTAGTCCACCAGATAGTGCCGTGGATGGTGAGGAGTAGTGCTAGAGCTGGCCATCATAGGCCAGCTCCGCTACCAAATTTGAAGGGGGCTGGAAGGCCCAGCCAGCAGCTACGCCTTAGGCGAAGCCAAGCCCCAGTTCTGCTGTACCGTAGTAGCGATAGTCCCACTATGAGAGGAGATGCCATCTCAAGCAATATGAAGATCCTTTTGGTCTCGATAGCGAATGCGTGCCTCGCAGTGAAGCACAATCATATTTGGGCGGCCGGCCGCTTGAGCCGACGCGGCCGCGGGCGCACGCTCGCTTCCACTCCTTATGTCCCTCGGCTCGCTCTAGAGTCGCACCACATCGCCAATGCACCAACGACGCTGGCGATACATCGGCGACGTCGGCGTGGAGAAACACGGGCTCCACATCGAGCCGCATCGCCGATGCATCGGCGATGCGGCGCCATCATCCGACCCCATCTGCTCGGACCCCATCTACAATGGGGGCCCGACCACGAGAAACCTTCCACAAGACACCTAACCCTGAGACCCCAGGACGCCCATCGATTTGTGGTGTGGGAGCGTCGCGTTTCCCATGGCAAAGCCATCGAAACCCAAGAAACCCAGGGCACCCTGGAGGCAAGCAGGGTGTGGGCCCCCACTGTATGCATGGCCCAGGTGCCCGAGCCACAGGCTCGGAGGCCGAGTCGAGGGAAACGCGCCCAGACTGAGAAAGACCATGTCGTCGGAGATCATCCGAGGCCTCCCAGATGGGGTCCAAGCACCAAGCAGATGGGGCCGAAGGATCGCGCCACATCGCCAAAGCATCGGCGATGTATCGGCGATGCATCGGCGACGCATCGGTGACGTCGGCGATGCATCGGCGACGTCGGCATGGGGAAACACGGGCTCCACATCGAGCCGCATCGCCGATGCATCGGCGGTACGACGCGATCCTCCGACCCCACATGCTCGGACCCTATCTAGGAGGCCTAGGGTCATCGAGGGTATGAACAAACCCGCGGGCAGACGAAACCGCAAGGGCCAAACCCTCGGTTTTCTGCCATACCCTCGGGGGTTCTCATACCCTCGGGTTTTTCAGTGCCCTCGGGACTTCGCGCACCGTCCCCGGCGATACAGGGCCTCTAGAACGTCCACGGGCCTGCGGGCGAACCGCCCCTGACCTCAGCCTCGGCAGGGTCGCGCAGCGCAGTCGCTACCCCTCGAGGCCCCCAGATCGGGGAGGGAAAAGAAGGGCAAAAACACAGCTGTACCAGCTGCCCGGTTCCCCTGGCTCGTCCGCCCCGAGAAGGGAGATGGGGGAGAGCAGAGGAAGAAAGAACGGCATGAACAGAAACCTTCGACGGTCCGTGCTGATTTCTTGGATCGGTGTCGAAACCCCGTCCAAGGCGCGCGGAGCGCGCCAGGGACGGCACCAGAGGCGCTTCCAGGCTGGACCGGGCGCCGATCCAAGAAATCCGCGCGGACCGTCGACAGCTGGTGTGTTGTGCCGTTTCGTCCCCCTTCGAGAAGAGGGGGAGCAGGGGCGAGAGGAGCGCCGAGGGCACGGAGGCTGTCCCGATACGCAACACGCAACACGTATGGTATTGATACGGAGCTCAGCACGTAGGCTGAAAACGCAGGTCCGACGCGATACACTCGCCAAAACGTGGTCCAATACGTGGAGCCAACACGCAACGTATTGACACGGACGTCTTGAACACGGGACGTACTGCGTTTCAAAACGGGCGTATCGAGGTAACTAAGTGACAGGGGAGCTCCTCGGGCAAGCACACCGTGGCGGAGGGCGTCGCGCTGTTCCAGGAGTACTTCACCTCCCGTGGGCGCTCCAAGGGGGGGGGCGGCGGCGAGGGACGGGCACGGCCGTCAGCTAGGGCACGGGTGGTACCCTTCACCAGCCCAACGCGTGGTGTTTTTCGCTTGCCGTCGCTCGGACGTCCATTTCCCGTGCGTTTTTCGGTTTCGTGTGTGTGTGTGTGTTTGTGTTTGTGTTTGTGTTTGTGTTTGTGTCTGTGTCTGTGTCTGTGTTTGTGTTTGTGTTTGTGTTTGTGTTTGTGTTTGTGTTTGTGTTTGTGTGTGTGTTTATGTGTGTGTTTGTGTGTGTGTGTGTTTGTGTGTGTTTGTGTGTGTGTGTTTGTGTGTGTGTGTGTGTGTGTGTGTGTTTGTGTGTGTGTTTTGTGTGTCTGCGTGAGGCAACCCCTGTATCCAAGGGGCCGCTCTTTTGCTGCAGCCGCGTCGGATGGCGTCGAGGGTGGAGGCACGCTTGTTAAAGCCAGGGCCATTGGAAGACGGCCCGAATCTCCAGATGTGGACGCGGAGAGGGGATGGGGGACGAGAGGACGGTGAAAGATAACAATCCCACTAGGCGGGATAGCAGCGTTGCACGAGCAGGAACGTCTTTGAGCATGTAACGCGCCCGGCGTGTCATTGAGCATGTAACGCACCCGGCGTGTCATTGAGCATGAAATGCGCCTCCGTCTCTCATAAGATCAGGGGAACTTTCGTGACAACTTCGTGCCGGTGCGGGGGCCCAAGGATGGCCCCCAAGTGCGTTTAACAGTTTTAACGCCGTTTCGCGGGTCACCGAATAGCACGGATCACAAGCGTGTCGCATACAAGCCCGCAGAACGTGCATGTCAATCTTATGTTGTTCCCTTCTTGGCTGTTGTTGTTTATCCACCGCGTACCACTTCATGTCATCGCTCGGGGGGGCGGGGGCGTTTTCCTGGCAAAAAGAAGCCGGCTGCTGGTTCGCGACGGAGAAGAAGAAACTAAAAGACAGACTTAGCTCAGACTTCAAAGGCGGCGCCGACTCAGCTTCGACTTAGTGGCGACTTTGGTGGACAGGCCGACTCAGCTACGACTTCGCTCAGACTATTAAGGCGTTGCCGACTCAGCTTCTGACTTAGTACTGTTCGTTAGTTTTGTTCGACTCAGCTTATGACTTGGTCTTAGACTTGAAGCTGCCACGACCCATCTGGGCAGCCCCTGCTCAACCGGTGGTGCGTGGGGGGCGGCGCAGTGGCCGCCGGCAGCGCCAGCCACTAAGACTTAGATTCCAAGACTTAGTTGAAGAAGGGGGCACCGAACACCTGGGAAGGCGGGGTGGGATTATGTGTGAGTGTGTGTGTGTGGGTGTGTGCGCGCGCACATCGTGCATGCGGGACCATCGTCATCGGGTAGGTGGGTCTGGGACGATGCGGCCAAGCCATGTTGGGGGAAAAGGTGGTGACGTTAACCCGGCCGGCTGGGGTTCCCACAGCTTGCCTCGGCGGGAGCTAACCGACTCATGCTTGCAGATCAATGGCTTGGAGTACCTCTTGAAGGGTGTTTTCCCAAACAATAGGTTTCATGCAAAAGCCAGGGTCCAGCTAAGTGGGGTACCTCTTGAAGGGTTTTCCCAAACAATAGGTTTCATGCCAAAAGCCTGGATGCATAGGAGCAGTGGAGAGAGGGATATCACACGAGTAGGTAAGCTTCTCGGGCCGTCGTCGTTGTGGGCACGATGTACGTCACGACCGAGATTTCGTGCCTCCGGCACTCTTCAAGTGTGTGTGTGTGAGTGTGTGTGTGAGTGTGTGTGTGTTTTTGCTCGATGGTCCAGGATGCTCCTTCAGGGTCCTCGCCGAGAAAAAATGCACACCGCCGAGCGATGCCAGAAGGGGGAGGCCAACCCCGTGGCCCAAAATAGGGGACGGCGGCTACCTGCGATGTTGAGGTGCTCAGTGCGGAACAGCTGGCGGTGTTCCACCTCGCTATCGCGCCCGCTGGGAAGAAGGGGGAAGGAGAGGAAGGGGATGCACTGCCGGCGCGCCCAGGAGAGAAGGCAGAGAGGGCGGGCCTTCTCAGAAGAGCAGCCCGCCTTCTGAGAAGCTTTCCAGGCCTTCCCCGAAGACTCATGGGGGCTTCTCTGAGGGCGGGGGGGCTCCTGCGAGGCACCGCTGCCTTCTGAGAAGGCCTGCCCTCTCTCACTTCCTCCCTCGGCGCGCCGCCAAAATGGAGGGAGGGCGGGAGGGAGGGGAGGGGGGTGAGGCAAGCTACGTGCCCTAGCGTCATATCTGACGCCCTACCCCTCCCTCCCATCCATGGCGTAGATTTCCTCTCTATTCGCATACTCGGATGTCGAGCAGGGCAGTAATCGCGAGAGGGTGCGCGATGCATCGTAGAGCACGGCGTGGCATGGCGTAGAAGAGCACTGCAGAGCGTAACATGTCATAGCATGGCGTAGCATTGCGTAGCGAAACGTTGCATCACAAAGCAGCGCAACGTAAACATTTTGTAGATGTTGGGCCCATTTGGAATGACTGGAAACGCCTGCGCTGCAGCGGCAGCACGATTTGGAACGACCAGAGGCGCAGAAATGGGACCACAGGCGCACGATTCGGAACGAGCGGGAGCGCGGAGATGAGGACGCGTAGCCTGACATAGCATGGCGTGGCGACGCCCCAAAATGGGGGAGGGACTTCTGCGGCCCCCCAAATCAACGAATCGGCACCGAATGTTGAATCACTTCTGGGGCCATGTTCTAGATTCTGGCGCCTACTTGGGAGGACTAAAAAGCATGACGTGGCATGGCGCTGGAAAAAATGACGCAATCGCTGCAGCGGGAGCACGATTCGGAACGAGCGGAAGTGCGGAAATGAGGCCAACGCTGCAGCGGGAGCACGATTCGGAACGAGCGGTACCAGCGCTTCAGCGAGAGCAGTATTTTGAAAACAAAACCCGCGAAAACCCAACTCCCGGGAATCCTGTGAAAAAAAAACCAATACGCGGAGTGGGGCCGAACAATCCCCGTCCGCCACCAGGGGATAGAGGGGAGTGGTATTCATATTGTTCAATTGTGGAGCGGGGAGGAGCGGACGGAGGATCGGATCGGATCGGATCGGATCGCCTGTGCGGGCATGCGCCCGGGCCCCTTAAGGGCGAGGCGGGTGAGGCCATGGCCTCGCATGAGAGGCAGCGCGCGTCGGAGGCTTGCTCAGGATAATGCGTACCCCACGAGTTGATGTTCCAATTGTTCCCACCCCTCTGTTGTAACCCGATGTAGTGACGTAGTTTCGTTGAAGTCGGGAGGAGGGTAATTAGCGCACGGAGGAGAGGGGAGGGAAGGAGGGTAGCGCACGGGAGTGGAAGGGAGGGGGGTGGGAGGGACCTTGTTGGACCTTCGCCTCGTGGAGACGAGCGGCGGGAATACCAGCAGGCGTCTGCCACCCAGGCTCGACCCGATTCGTGTGAGGAGGGGGGGGGAGGGGAGGGAGGGAGGGAGGAGCGGGGAAGGGAAGGGACAGATGAGGGGGGAGGACGAAGGCCGCTGGGGTCTCTTGGAGTCTCTGGAGGCGCAGAGGAACCAAGCACGCTCAAAAAGCTCATCCAGCATAGATCCTCGATCCTCGTCGTCCTCGTCTTCGTCGTCGCCTCTGGAGGCCCAACAAGCTACGTATTCGACCATGGACACCTTGTTACCCACTGGCCATGGGCAGTCTTCGGCGGTCTCTGGCGGTCTCTGACGGCCTTCGGCAGTCTTATGACGGTCATCGGCGGTTTCTGGGGCGGTCTGCGGCGCGAAAGCTGGACGCTTGCGTTCAACTAGGGGTCCATGATCGAACACCTAGAATAAGTACCCAAAGACGTTCAGGAACCTCCGCCCTCGATCCCCGTCGTCGTGCGGGGAGGGGCCTCCGTGCACGGATCCTCCTCTGCATTCGCGGTCGAGGGCGGGGCGAAGCCGGACGCCGTCTTCCCCTCGCCACGGCGGACACCCCGGGCGTCGAGACCTCCGGGCCGCCCGAGTTGGGGCGGGCGCGGACCCAGATCTCCGGCGATGTGCTTTTCAATCCTCGCGCTTCTCCTAACGGGATAATTGAAAATGGATCTGGGACGAAAACTGTCCCCGGCAAGGGGTCGGGACCTCTGGGGCCCCGCATCGAAAAATGATATCGTCGGATCTCTGGGGATTTGGTGAAGGCCAAGCGTACCACCTGAAAGACGTACAGCAGGTTCGGGTCGTGACGACGTCGGCATTGGTTTCTGACACTGCGTAGTTCGTCCAACCTTGAGGTGCTCGCGGCTTTGCCATGGCGCAGATTGGTCGACGTCGGCAGGTTCAGAGCAACGGCGGCGTTTCACCTTAAAAAGTCCGGGCTGGGGCCGCGTCCGCGTCGATACGACACGACCATACCAGACCGCAGTGGGGTGCGGTAGCGGCCACGGTTCCAGCCAGGGTGTGCGCCAGAAGCCAGCCTTTGGGCGTCCCGGGGTGGGCCCAGAGGTCCTCTCTCCAGGGTGCGTCGATTCTGGGGTGCGTTTGGCCTCCCCTGGCAGACGGGAACGAAAGATCGCGCAGCATCGCCGATGCGTCGTCGATCCAGCGCGATCGTCGAAGAAAAAGCAAGCATAATCACAATTGAGCTTTCGGGGGTCCGCGCGAATATCATGGATCGGCGTTGCACCCTCATCACTGGCGCGCGCAGCGCGCCAGGGGCGCTGCCGGAGGCGTCGCCCGATGGGACCAGCGCCGATCCAAGAAATCCGCGCGGAGCTTCGAAAATTTACGCTTCCGCACTTGCTTCTTTTCGAGATCCGGAGCCCGATTATTCTACGTCCTGGCTTTCGCCGAAGCATCGCCTGTGAGTCGGCGACGCGGTGCGATCCCCCGATCCCATCTGCGCCAGCCCCATCCCGGCGGCCTCCGAGGCCGGGGACGTGGCGCTTGCTCAGCTGGCCTGTCTGCGCCGACCTGGGGTTGGCCTCCTCGTGGGGAGGGGAAGTTTGGCGGCGCGCCACGGGGGGGGGGGGGTCGTTTGGAGGTCCTGTGAGGGGTCGCTCGAATGTTTGGAAGGTCACGGAAGTTCGTCGCCACGGATGGGCGCGGCTGGGAAACCTGGCCAGTCTGAGCCTCGAAAGAGGTCTGGGGCTGGTCTCGAACGTAGTTTGGTCTGGAGCAAGGCGAGCGGGAAGGGCTCAAGTTCGAGCGGAGAGTTGAGCCCATGTAAAGCCGACGAGGGGAATCCGATTTCACGAGATTGGAATCGTCATGGAGTTGCCCACTCTCTTTGACAAGGCAGAAGGCTTCTTGGAAGGCCCCGGTATCTGCTCTTAGGAAGCAGGACGGCTTCTGAGGGGCGAGGTGCCCTGTGAGAACGCCGCCCCCCCTTGAGACCGTGGCCGACTTGCCATGGGGGAGAGAAGGGTCGTGTGGAAACAGGTCCGGGACCCTGGGGCTTCCCCGTGGACAGACGGTTCTACCTGAGCAGTTTTGTGAACCCGGGGCCAGAGAGGTGCGAAGCAACGCTCGGGGAGGACCAGCTCAGGGGGGGAAACGTCGCCCTGGGACCGGCGATGCCTCGCCGACAGAACGGCGATCGGCCCCCGACAGCGAACTCGGAAGCCTGGCGGTGGACCCAGATCTCCGGCGATATGATGCTTCCAGTCCTGGCATCTGTTTCCTCGGGCCCCCGGACCGTTAAGAGCGGACCCCGGGCGAGAAGACTGCCCCCGGGGAACGGGTCGGGACATCTGGGGCCGCGGAGTGCGCAGAAAACAGATCGGCGGAAGTCTGGGGAGTATACAGCCGGACTTCACTGAACAGGACACGCGAGAAGACACAAGACCCTTCCGAGGGTCACATTGCCAAAGGAATGCAGGAGGCACGGGCCGCGAGACACAGGACGCGAAGGTACCCTTGATTTGGCAGGGTCGACCTACTAATCCGGGCCGACTGTTCTCACCTCCGAGGGCGGGTCGGACGAAAGAGGGGGGGACAGCAAATCATCTGACGGAGCCGATTTCCCTGGCGCCTCCCGGCGCCAAAGGGCGCCAATGCGTCGAGGAAAGCGCCCGGCTGCGGGGCCTAAACCAGCTGCGCGCGACAGACTTTGTGACCCCCCCTTTCAACCGCCGTGCCCTTCTGCCGACCCTGAGATATGACGTCGCAATTTCGCTCGCAGCGTGGACCCCCAAAGGTCGAGACTATCTCCCTGGAGCCGTTTTTGCATCCCGAGCCGCTTTTGCAGGTCCTGGGGCTCAGCTGGGTCCCCCCAAATCCGAAAACTGTAACAACAGCTCCCGCCGTGAGCTTCTCGCGACGAGAAGGTTGAAGGAACTCCTGTGGTCCAGACCCCCCTTGCACAATTTTTTGGTCTGCGGGTCGAGAGCGAGCCTCTTCCGGTTAACAGCTAGGCGGGCCGCGCAAAGCACTAATTGGGGAGACAGGGCGCGGGCGGGCGGGGCCTGAGGCGGCTGGAGGGCGCGGGGTGCAGGCGGTGCTGAAGAGCTTGCGCAAGAAAAGGTACACCTTGGACAGGAGCCGGACCCCCCTTGCACAGTGAAGCGCTCCTGCGGAGGAGCTCTCCTCGGGGGACGCTCGGGGGGACTGGCTCTGGGGGGGACAGCGACCTGCAGTCGGCGACACCATCGCCGAGAGATCGGCGACGTGGGCCCGATAGCGAACCCGCTCTCTCCTGGGCGGAGGGGGCTATCGGGCCCCTGTCGGCGACCAATGGGCGACTGGGGCTCGACGCATCCGCCCTTGAGACTGTGCCTATCCCCGGTGGATTTCGGGCCACTCGTAATAACTCTGGCCTCCAGCGACCGTTCGGGACAACCCAGGCACCCTCGGAAAGTTCGCGGCAATGCGCCGCTGCTGGAGACCATCCCGCAGCTGGAAAACCGCCGAGGTCCGACGAGAACACACAAAAACCTCGCACCTCGAGCCTGTCGTCAACCCTTGAGCCCTTCCCCCCCCCCCTGACGTTGCCTCTGACCCCTGGCATCGGCCACCAACGTGCCCTCTACTTCCAGGCCTATCGCCGAAAGATATTCCAGATCAGCTGTGAATTGAACGGCAGCCTCCGCCATCCGCAGAGGCTCCGGTGACTTGGAAAAAACTGCACTAGAAGCTCCACGCTGCTCGCAGATTTTCTGCTGCCCGGCGAAGGGGGGGAGGAGGGGAGAAGCAATCAGGCTCGGGGGCGGCCAAGAGGGGGGCGTCCAAGAGGGGTGTGTGCTAATCATGGCCGGCGGCATGTGCGCGGCCCAGCGGGGGGGACCAGGGCTGTAATGAAACAAGAAGAGGCGCCATGAAATCTGGGGAGACATCATGGCCCCCGCCATGATATCCCCCCCCCTAGTCATCGCCCCCCTCTTTGCCGCCCCCGACAGGCAGACGACGACGAACGCGCAGGCGGGAGGTCGGGGTGGGCTTCTCCTCTGGTCCTCCTCCTCCGTGCTGAGGTCTGCGGCGGCGTCCAGACCCGCGCTCCTCTCCCGAGCGCCCGCCTTCTCGGGCGCGACCTCCTCTGTGTCGCTGTCCTCCTTCTTGGGCAGGCCGCGGGAGCGAGAGCTCGACGCGCCGTCCTCCTCCGCCTCCTCCTCCCACTGTTCCAACGTGTTGGAATAAAGAAAACGGAGGTTTTTCGCAGCGTTCGGCCTCCAGGGGCCCTCGCCGCGCCCCAGGGCCGTCAAACCACGGCTCGGGAGGGAAATCCGGCCCCGGGGTATGGGTCGAGACTTCTGGGGCCCCGTACTGAACAAACCACGACATCGGATCTATGGGCTCCAGGTGAAAACTACGGCGGGGGCATTCGATCAGGAACCACTGCGTCACGAACCCAAGGTCTGGAACCGGGTGGAACTCCAATCGTGGATTGGCCATGGCTATCATCGCTGCCCTCATCAGATGGCCGATTCCGGAAACCCTGAACCCCGACATGTTGTCATCTCTCGGAAGCGTTTTTCCTGCTTCCGCCGCCTCCCGCCAGCCTTCCGCCGGCTTCCGCCGGCGGAGGCGGCCTCGTTTCACTTCCGCCGCCCTCCGCCGAGGAAGAGATGACAACTCCGCCTATCCTCGAAGGCAACGGGCGCCCCCGCCGGCGCCTTGCTCAGAGCGGCTCTCGCCCGGGAGCTCGGCGCGCGATCTCCAGGGAGGACGGGCAGCCTCAGGGCCTGGCGGCCGCCACACGCAGTCGCCGCTCGTCGGAGACGCGAGGCGGGATGTACCCGTCGTTCATTTCTAATCGTGCTCGTTTCTGACTGTGCTCGTTTCTAACTGTTCCTGGCCCCCTGGTGGCCAGGAGGAGGCCCAGGACAGAACAATTAGAGATGAAAGGACCGTGGCCCCCCCAAAAATCAAAGAATTTTCGAACACTTGGAGAAATAAACAGTGTGTACCCTCGGGGGCCCAGCGCCGACCCAAGAGAATCCGCGCGGACCACCGACAAGTGATGCTCAGGCTGCCTCTGCTTCGCCTCCGATCCTGGGGGCCTTCCACATGGGATCCAAGTAGATGGGATTGGAGGATCGCGCCACATCGCCGACGCATCGCCGAATGAATCAGCGAGGTCGCCAGGCGCCGTCGGCGTGGAGAAAATCGGGCTCAACATCGACTGGCATCGACGATGCATCGGCGATGCGGCGCGATCCTCCGGCCCCACTTGCTCGGACCCTATGTGGGAAGCCTGGGGATCCTCGCTAAACCCCCGAAAGCTCGAGCCCAGGACCCCCATCGCGGCACCCCATCGCGGCACCCCGTCGTGAACTCAGTGAACCTGCTTAGGGCCTTCTGCCGCAAAAGTGTCACTTGGCCCATTGCGATAACCCTGAACCGCCAAAAGGTTTGCATCCACTACTTTCGCCGGCTTCCGCCAGCGGAGCCGCCCTCGGTTTACTTCCGCTGGCTTCCGCCGCCTTCCGCTGAGGAAAAGATGCCAACCCCTTCAATGCCCTCTCTGGAACACCCCACTTACGGTCAGGAACTTCTTCTTAGCGTGTCGCGGCGGGGGCCCTGGCGACGCGTTATTCCCTGCCAATGGATTGCGTGTCGCTCGGATCTGCTGGGCGGGAGGCTGGGAACAGCTCAGGACATTGACGCTTGGGAGTGGGGACGTGGATGGCGTGTCGCGCCGAAGCGTGGTGGGCCAGAGCTGGCGAGACGACACGCAGAGCAAAAGTTCCCGACCGTATGCTCATGCTGCTTCTTCTTGCTGTTCTTCTTATTATTATTCCTCTTCTGATGTTTCCTTTTCTTCTTCTTCTTCTTCTTCTTTTCCTGCGATCCTCGCTGCCTTCCTCGGAGCTGGCCGAGACCGTGCTCTCCGTGGCGCCGTGGTGCTGAACCTCCACGGGCGTCGACTGGGTCGATCCGCTTTTCACGGGCCTGACCCAGACCGTTCCATCCTCCTCCTCCGTGTCGTTGGCCATGCTGATGTTTGCGATCGCATCTTTGGCCTTCCTGAGGTCGGCCTCCGAGATCGTGCTCTCCTCGGCGGCCTGCTCGGACCCGGGCGAGGTCGTGCTGCTCTCCTCGGGTGGATGCCAACGGGGGGGGGGCCATGCGGGGCGCGATCGAGGGGCGCAGGAGATGCAGGTCCTGGAGGGGGCCCTGAAGGGGGGGGCGTGAGCTGACACCCGCGGCCCCAGAGGGTGTCAAAAAGGCGAACATTTCTTCTTCCCCCCGCTGCGGGGGTCCAAGGCCCAAGGCCTCCCCAGCTTTTCGCTCCATTTTGGCGCCCCCGAGGGGGCCTCGCGAGGGGCGCTCTGGAGGCCGCCGAGGGGGCCCCCTTGGGAACCCTGGAGGCACGTTGGGCCAGGAGCACTTTTCCAGACCCCCGATGTCTCAATATTTTTGCAATACGGGGTCTCCGGAGCTCTTGACCACTTCTGCCCGGGGACAAGTTTTTCGGCCTGGATCCTTCTCGGAAGGCCTCATGGGCTAGCGAGGGCCCCAAATGTAGAAAATGGCAACAAAAACTCGCGTCGTGATTTTTTTGCGATCGAGCCGCTGTCCTCGGACTCGGGCGCGCTCTCGGGGACCATGGCCCGGTACTGGCAGGCGCCCCTGCCCTTCGCAAACCCAACGAAGTGCTGGCGTATGGCAGCTGACAGTTTCGTGAATTCATCCTGGCAGCCAGGGTCTACCTCGTGCGCGTCCCCCGCGTGATCGTAAGGGCTCTCCTCCGTCTCGTTCGCCTGCTCGGACACCGTCGAAATCACACCGCCCTCCTGGGACCCAGGCGAGGTCTTGCTCGAGCTGCCCTCCGCTGGCCCAGACGCGGTCGTGCTCTCTCCTGTCGCCCCGGCCTCCTCCGCGGCTTTGGCTCTGGCCTCCTCGGGGCCCGGCCGACATCGTGCGTGTTCCTCCCTCCCCGCGCTCCCTCTACCGCTCCCTCTACGCTCGGCACGCGGACGCCCGGGGACTGGGACGCGGCTGGCGTGTCGCGCCGACGCGCGGTGGGCTAAAACTGGCGGCGCGACACGCTGCGCATGAACTCCAGATTGTCCCTCCCCAGTCGCTCTTTTCTTTGCCTCCTGCTCCTCCTAAATCCGTCGCTCCCCTTCTCCGCCCTTGCCCCGTCCTGTCCCCTCCGTCAGCTCCCCCTCCCTCATCCCCTCCTTTCTCCCCCCGCCCCCCGCCCCCATCTCTCCGCCCCTCCATCACTCCCTTCCTCTCTCTCTCTGACCTTCCCCCCCTCCCTCCCCCGCAGCCCTAGACCTCACGAGCCCTTGGTCTCTCACTGTCAATATCCTCATCCTTCTTCCCGTATCCCCGTCAACCTCCTCCCCTCTCTTCGATGGCAGCTCACGGGGGCCTCCCATACCAACTTGTAGACTCTTTCGAATGGACGCTAGTCGACGCTAGTCGAGGCTTATCGACGCTAAGTCGGCGCTAAATTGGCGGTACCTCGTCGACTCCCAGACTCTAGCCGACGCGAGAGACGGAATTAAAACGGTACACCAGGCTCCCATGATCTGCCACTGGACCATTCCATCCGCCTGCGCCCAAACATGCCCATGTCCCTATCCCCTCGCTCCTCCGCCGGACACTCTCTGCGAGCATATGCGCGCGCGGGCATCTAAGTTCTCAGCGCTGGCGTTGCTCGCGTGGGGCGAGGGCGGGGAGCACGAGATCTGGCTGAAATCGGCGAGTTGCCCCCGAAACGCCAACCGCGGCGTTGCGGCCAGCGCGCGCGAGCAGGCATTTCCTCCTCCTCCTCCTCCTCCTCCTCCTCCTCTTCCTCCTGTTCCTCCTGTTCCTCCTCCTCCTCCTCCTCCTTGTCTTCGTCCTCCTCCTCATTATCCTTAGTCTGTAGCCAACTCTTTGTTGATATGGGCCCTTTCTTGACCACGATGATGGGCAAAATGTGACCATGATCGTTTCGTTACTATTCATCCTCATCTTCTTCCTGTAGCAGTGTCTTACTCAGGTTTACCATCTTCAACGTAGGTGCTGTATCCCTCCATGCCATGGCGAAATGAGTGCGGTAGGGTGTCCGTTATGCTTTGGGCTAGCAGCAAGATGAGAAGGGGGCCGGCCGGCCAGGGGAAAACGCTCGGGAGGGCGCGCGCGCCGGGCGGGCGGGCCGCGATCCCTTCTATTTGAGCCAACCCACAACAGATGCGTCGAAACTGCACGTCAGAAGTGGGCCCGGGGGGATGACTAAATCAACCACCCCCGCGGCCGGCCCGGCGAGCTCCACTCGCGCGGGTGGGCGAACCTGGTTTATGCATCGCCCCGAATTGTTCATAAATGCGTCTGGGCACGCGGCCCCCAGCAGACAGTTATCCCATCGTCTGGCTCGCCGTGCAGGGCATGGGCGCCCTGCGCCGCTTTGTCGAGGACCCGATGGATGAGGTCAATGAGATCAGAGTGGCAGGCGCATCCACCGCCGATGTGGCGACAGTGCCAGAGCCACTCGCGCGGGTGGGCGAACCTGGTTTATCCAACGCCCCGAATTTTTCATAAATGCGTCTGGGCACGCGGCCCCCAGCAGACAGTTATCCCACCGTCTGGCTCGCCGTGCAGGGCATGGGCGCCCTGCGCCGCTTTGTCGAGGACCCGATGGATGAGGTCAATGAGATCAGAGTGGCAGGCGCATCCACCGCCGATGTGGCGACAGTGCCAGAGCCACTCGCGCGGGTGGGCGAACCTGGTTTATCCATCGCCTCGATTTTTTCATAAATGCGTCAGGGCACGCGGCCCCCAGCAGACAGTTATCCCACCGTCTGGCTCGCCGTGCAGGGCATGGGCGCCCTGCGCCGCTTTGTCGAGGACCCGATGGATGAGGTCAATGAGATCAGAGTGGCAGGCGCATCCACCGCCGATGTGGCGACAGTGCCAGAGCCACTCGCGCGGGTGGGCGAACCTGGTTTATCCATCGCCCCGATTTTTTCATAAATGCGTCAGGGCACGCGGCACCCGGCAGACAGTTATCCCACCGTCTGGCTCGCCGTGCAGGGCATGGGCGCCCTGCGCCGCTTTGTCGAGGACCCGATGGATGAGGTCAATGAGATCAGAGTGGCAGGCGCATCCACCGCCGATGTGGCGACAGTGCCAGAGCCACTCGCGCGGGTGGGCGAACCTGGTTTATCCATCGCCTCGATTTTGCACAGTAGAACTCGCGCGCGAACCTGGGCAGCGTCAGGGCACGCGGCGGCAGACAGTTATCCCACCGTCTGGCTCGCCGTGCAGGGCATGGGCGCCCTGCGCCGCTTTGTCGAGGACCCGATGGATGAGGTCAATGAGATCAGAGTGGCAGGCGCATCCACCGCCGATGTGGCGACAGTGCCAGAGCCACTCGCGCGGGTGGGCGAACCTGGTTTATCCATCGCCCCGATTTTTTCATAAATGCGTCAGGGCACGCGGCACCCGGCAGACAGTTATCCCACCGTCTGGCTCGCCGTGCAGGGCATGGGCGCCCTGCGCCGCTTTGTCGAGGACCCGATGGATGAGGTCAATGAGATCAGAGTGGCAGGCGCATCCACTGCCGATTTGGCGACAGTGCCAGAGCCACTCGCGCGGGTGGGCGAACCTGATTTATGCATCGCCCCGAATTGTTCATAAATGCGTCCGGGCACGCGGCACCCGGCAGACAGTTCTCCCACCGTCTGGCTCGCCGTGCGCGGCATGGGCGCTCTGCGCCGCTCTGTCGAGGACCCGATGGATGAGGTCAATGAGATCAGAGCGGCAGGTGCATCCACCGCCGATGTGGCGACACTGCCAGAGGCCAACATATCCGTCTGGACCAAGCTATGGTCGCCGACGAGTTTTTCTAAGCGGGGAGCGGCACGCGTCTTTAGCAGAGGCCCTCGAAGCTGCTCGTCACGAGGAACTGGCACCACTCACGCTTGACATGCTCGAGGAGGCTTCGACGGTAATCTCTCCCTCGAAAGCCGCAATCATCGAGTGCATTCGACAGCGAGGCGGTTGGTGGCTGCCAGAGATCGGCCGCCAGCAGTTGATTGGCATTTTCCGCACTATTGAGTTGCACGTTGCATGGTCCCGGCAGTGGCTCACTGCTATCATATCCCACATTCTAAGTTGGGTTCTCGTTCTCTCTGGACACCCCGCGCAGGGACAGAAATAGGGACCCACCTACATCATCATCATCATCATCATCATCATCATCATCATCATCATCATCATCATCATCATCATCATCATCATCATCATCACCATCATCATCATCATCATCATCATCATCAGCATCAGCACCAACATCATCATCAACATCATCATCATCATTACCCTCATCATCCTCATCATCATCACCGTCATAATTGACACCATCGCCATCATCACCATCACCATCACCGTCACCATCATGATCATAATAATAATCATCGCCCCCTTCCCTTCGTCACCCACGCACCCACACACTCACACACTCATCGTCGCAATCACCTTGAGCATATTCATCACCACTCAACCACTTACGCACTCACCCACCCAGTCATTATCATCACCATCATCAGCATCATCGACATCACTCCCATATTCATTCACGCTCACACACAATTACATTCACACACTCATGCATTCACTTCGAGGAGGTCTAAGGCGAGAGCCTCGTCTGTAAGTAAATTTCGAAGCGGTCTCCTCATGGGGCCCGCAGATCATGTTACGAATCCGAACGGGTCATCGGAAACCTGTAACCGTCGTCACTTTCTGGGTTCCTGAAGCCTGAATATGGGGGAAGTATCCGGCGGGAACCCCGCTTGTTAGTTAATAGCAAGAAAATCTCAAGCGGGGGGCCGCCCCCTATGAGGCCCGCAGATCACGTAATTAATCCGAGCGGGTCAACAGAAACCTCGAACTGTCGTCACTTTTGGGCTCCTGAGGCCTGAATCGGGGGGACGTATCAAGCGGGGGCCTCGTCTGCGAGTGAGTTGCAAACAAGTCTTAAGCGGGGGCCCTGTCCCTATGGGGCCCGCAGATCACGTTACTAATCCGAGCGGGTCATCGGAAACCTGTAACTCCCGTCGCTCGGATCTCCTGAAGGCTGAATTTCAAGCGGGAGCCTCGGGTGTAAGTGAATCGCGAAAACGTCTCGAGCGGGAGCCCCCTCCCCCGAGTGGGTTATCAGAATCATGTAACTGTCGTCACGCTTGGGTTCCTGAAGCCGGAGCATGGCGGGAATATCAGGCAGGCGTTGGCAATCCGAGCGTTGTATGCCGAGCTGGTCGACGGCAAACTTGTTGCTGCCATGGGCCCGCGCGCCGGATATTGGAAATCCCCGCGGCTCCGCAAGCGTAGGACACATGCCGGACGCTGGCCGCGAGGGCATGTCGGACGACCAACGGTGGCTGCATCTCAACGTCATGTTCTCCCGCGCCACGCGCACGCGGAACGTGCTGATCCTGCGGCCGCCCCCGCGGGAGTTCCTGGAGGACGGGCCGCCGGCGCCCCTGCGGAAGGCGCTCGGAAAGTTCGACAGGAAAGCGGAAAGCTTCAAGGCAGAGGCGGAGCAACTTGCGACATAGCTGGGCTACGTGCTGCGTCCCGCCTGATCGCGGCCGCGCCTAGCTCGGCGCCTGCGGGGTTGTCCCAACGGTTTGCTCCCGCACCCCAGCGGCTCGCGGGATTGTCCCAACGGCCAAGCCCGCGGGGTTGCCCAAACGGCTGCGCGATGTGGCCATTCGAGAATGCGTCCGTGTTGGCCGAGGCGGCGACGGCGCCTGGGAAAATCGGCATGCGCGCTCTTGCAACAGAAAGGGGAAGAGGTGGCGGGGGGTGGAAAAAACAGGAGAGCGAGGAGGGGGCAACGTAGGGAGCGGGAGGAGGGCGAGAAGGAGAATGTCGCGGAGAAGGCAATAAGGACGCCTCACCAATCACGAGGACGACGATGAAGGGCATGTCCAGATTAGCCGACAAAGACTATCATGCGGCGTCCTACCGTCGGAATAATTGTTAGTTTAAGGGAGCCTGATGTGCGCAAAGACTGCCATCTGCCTCCTGACTTGGCTGGGTCGTTTGTGGAGTCGCTTGAGGTCTCGCCCTGCGGAGGCCCGACGCTCGGTGGAGCCCTTGGGGCGCCGCGGTGCGGGGCAGCAGTGCTCTGCCAGAGGCGCTGCTGAGATGCTATGCCGACGGGGCGGCGCTGTCGTCGGTGCTGCCCGACTGTGTCTCTTCGTCGAGTTTGTAGGATGCCGAAGCTCTTTACGACGCCATTCGCTGGGACACAATGGTTGCTCATGCCATTCGTCTTCATACCCCTTCCGCGTGTCTGTCGTTGGAAGCTCTCCTGCACAAGGGGCCCCGAGTCTTAAGGGATTCTGGATGCGTTGGCCCAGCCATCTCGCCGCAGGGTAGACCCGTGGCAGGTGCGAGCCGAGCCCCTGTTTTGGCTAAGTGTCAGATGCTCTCGATTTGCAAGATCGCTGCGGCCAGCAGCTCACTCGTTCAGCTTCGCACATCGATTGACGATGTTACCCTGAAGGCAGAGGGAATACGTCGAGACGTCGCGTCCCACCTTGTGCGCTCGGGAATCGTCGTTGCTCAAGAGTGCAATAAAGAACATTTGAAGTTGATCTCTAACTTCATCGCTTCTGAACTTTCGGTGGCGCACGAGATCCAAGCCGGTTTGGAGTTGTACGGAGTGGAGGTTGACGCGGCACCTGCTGCTGCTGATCTAGGCATCGAGCGGGGCAGTGGGGCCAAGAACTTCAAGCCCCGCCATTCGAAGGGGCTGGCCCAGGACCACAGGCGAGTTACTCGAATCAACAAAGACGGCCAGAGTCGCCCCGCGTAAAGTAGGACCCAAGCTACTCCTCACGGGTGCCCTGCCTCAGGCCTCTTACGCGTGGAGTTTTTGGCGCAGCGCCCTCGGTCTTTCTCAATGGAGGTTAAAAGGGGGGAGCTCACGGCCCTTGTTCAGTTTTTTGGGGCGTCCCCCGAAGGAGCAGACCTCGGCCAAATTGCCGATTCCGCTTACGTTTCTCGAGGGGTCGCCCGCGTGTGGTCTGGGAACCTTGCCAGCATCAAGAGACATCGCGATCTGTGTGGTCGTGCCCGCGAGCTGTGCCGCGTAAGGGACTTGGTGGTCATCTGGATCCGTAGCCACTTGTCCATCGAGGAAGGTCAAGCCTTGGGGCTTAACCCTGGACGTGTGAGTGCCAAGGCCACTGCTGACTCTCTTGCTGACAAATTCGATGCCGAAGCTCGTGCCCCACATGCCGTCTCCTTGTCGGTTCGGATGGCTGGCGGCCTCGCTCGAAAGATCCAGGCACATTTGCTGTGTCATGGAGGACGTGATGGCTGAGCAGGGTCAGAGACCCCCACGTCAGCCCTCCAGGTGCGAGTGTACAACGTCACTGCCGAGAAGCTGCGCCGCGCCGCTTTGAACTCGCAGCACTCGTGTCCGCAGATATCGGGCGATGTTGACCAATGTCGCAAGTGCGGTTGCCGCGCCAGCGCAGAATCTCTGGCCTCTTTCCACGGCACTTCATGCCACACTATAAATTAGATGGTGCTGTCTGCAGGCCTTCGGGGCCGTCTGTATCCGAGCGAGGGAAGTGCACAGCACGCACTATCTGGTCTTCTTGGCCCGATAAGAACTTGCTCTGATGTGTAGCGTGCTAGTGCTATAGTACCTCCCCGCTTAGGGAGTTGTCGCAGGTGTGCACCACTACACTCAGCAAAGCCAAGGCCCAGAACCAGCCTGGGATTTCTAGAAGCGTCTGGCCTGGGTCTTGCACATGGGGCAGGGAGCGTCAGGAGCGTCGGGTGCGGGAGGAACGTGGGGGGAGGGGAGCGAGCGCCGCGGCGGTCACCCCCACGCCGCGTTCGACGAGAACGTGGCCAGCAGGCGCCGCCCCGCCTCCCAGCCGCCCCCCCGCCGCGAGCCCGCGCTTGCTCTGCCCCCCTCCTTCTCTGCTGCACTGATCATTGTGATCGCTCCCCATAACACCGTTTCCTCCTCACCCCCGGACGGAGCCCCAGGGGCCTGGCCCGCGAGGCCGCCTCCCAAGGGGGCCCCCCAGAGGCAAGCATCGTCCCACTCTCTTCGGGAAACATATCTTTAAGCGTATTCGCATTTACGGCTGTCATAGGTTCCAAGACGGCCCCCCAAAGCTCCCAAGATCATCCCGAAACGGCCCAAGAGGCTCCGAAGAGGGCTCCAAGACCGCCCAAACTCCAAGACAGCCCAAGAAGGCTCCAAGAAGGTTGCAAGACGGCCCAAGAGACCCCCAAGACAGCCCAAGGGGGTAGAGAGCTCCAGAACAAGCCTGACAGAGGGTGCGGGAGAGGGGGGGGGGAGGACTAGCTTTCGGGCCCCAGACGCCCCCAGGAGGCCCCCAGAGGCCCCCGAGGGCGCCACGAGGGCCTAAGACGCTCCCGGGAGGACCTTGGGAAGGCCCCCGAGACTTCACAAGAATGCCTCCCAGGTGCCCCCGCGTGGCCTCCAAGATGCCTCCAAGACGCCCCCCCACGAGGCTCAAAACTGTTTCCAAAACTGCCTTGCCTACCTTGCTCCACCGCTGCCGCGCTACGTCGCTTCAAAGAGCGCGGTGACGGATATACGCGCGGCAGCGCAACTGCGGAACCTTAGGGGCCCGGCCCGCGAAACCGCGGATACGGATACGTGTTTCGCCCACGGGGCGGGCCGGGCGGCCCTCAGATCGGGGTGCTGCCTCAAGGGTTTGGCCATGAGGTCTTGGCGCCGTCAGGGCTACATAAATTCTTAGCGGGGCTTCGACTCGACGGCCCCGCCGATTGCTTCCCCGTTGAGCATCGCCCGATGTGCGCACCCGCAACGTCCCCCGCAACGTCTGCCGCAACCCCTATCCTAAACCACCTACGCCCAGAGGGCTGGTGGGATTTTCGAGCAGTATTGAAACATATTGAGCCATCTTGGGCCATCTTGGGGGTCATCTTGGGCTCGCTGCGGCCCTCTTAGAGCCATCTTCGGCCACCTTGGACGCTCCAGCGCCTCGCGAACCCCCCCGCCCGATGTCCTTGCCACTGGCCCCCGCAACGTCTGCCGCGACCGTCGCGTTCGTCGGGTTTTCGCCCGGAGCCAGCGGCGTGCCGTCCTCGTGCACGGGCTGACCGATGGCCTTGTCGTCCTCGCGGGGCGGCCCTCCTCCTCCCCCTCCGCCTCCTCGGTCGCCAGATGCGGCTGCCGCTCCTCCTCCTCCTCCTCCTCATCCTCCTCCTCCTCCTCTTCCTCCCCTCTTCCTCCTCCTCCTCCTCCTCCTCCTCCTCCTCCTCCTCCTCTTCCTCCTCCTCATCATCATACTCATCATCATTATCATCATCGTCGTCATCATCATCACCATCACCATCATCATCATCATCATCATCACCATCATCATCATCATCATCATCATCATCATCATCATCATCATCATCATCATCATCACCATCGTCGTCGTCATCATCATCATCATCATCATCATCGTCATCATCATCGTCATCATCATCATCATCATCAGCAGCATCATCAATATCACCACCATCATCATTATCAGCATTAGCATCAGCATCATCACCACAATCATCATCATCATTCCTCCTCCTCCTCGTCCTCCTCCGCCTCCTCCTCCTTCCTCCCCCTCCTCCTCCACCTCCTCCTCCTACTCCTCCTTTTCCTCCTCCTCCTCCTCCCTGGCCTCCCTCGTCGTCCCGACCGAGGGGGAGGGCGCAAAGAGGGAAGGAGGAGGGAGGAGAAAGGGGACGAGGGGCTTCACTACCGGCCATACCTGCCACAATGGAGCACCCAGCCACAGCGACATGGAGAGCCCGATGTGCATCTACATGGAAGCTGGTGAGACGAAAACACTACTTACATTCCTAGATGACTTCGCCATCAGCCTCGACCCATGTAGGCTTGGCAGCCGCAGTAGAAAACTTACCATACTTCGGTGCATTCACCCACCAACAGCGAGAAGCGTACATGGGTAGAACGGAGGCAGCTGCAACCACAGAGGATGACACATAACTATATGTTTTGCAAACGTTTGCGCCCTGGCGTCCCATGTAGTTACCCGGCAGCGGGCAGTTGCAGCGCCAATGCAAAATACTGAATGTGAACGAATGCTACAATAAATGTGTGAAACATTGCATGAGGCCTCGCAAGTAATTCGTCATCTACGTGAGCCCCGTCTCAAAGGCGATAGCTTCGGCCTGAAGTGGGGATGCCCAAGGCCCCAAATGATGCGAACCGCACGCGAAGCCGACGGAAATGGGGCTGGCCATCGTCTTGGGCTTCGACAGCATATATAACCCACCTATCGCCCCCTGGCCAGCACGCGCGCCCCCATCGGCGTAGAGCGGAACATTTGGACAATCTCCAACGTTTGCTTCAGAACGCGGATGTACGGCCCTGCAATGTCGAGAGCCATATTCGCGAAATGATCTGCAACAGAATAGAACTCCCGCGGTCGCCACTGTATCAGGGGCTCGTGGTCAGTAGAGGGTAAGATTCCCCTCTTGTACAAGCTCGCCACTTCCCATCCTCGCGAACAGCGGCCGAATCGCATCGCCTTGCAGCTGTGTGCGGCCAGTCACGACGTTGGCGAGAAATTGGCAATCAACCGCCACCCGGGCCCGGGAGTTGAACGGCCATCTACCATGTCCTGTCTTGGCGGTGAAGCGCATGCGCCGGCATGCTGTCGATGCGGCGGTGCTCCAGCGCGGGCCCCGGCAGATGGAAGGCGAAGCCGGAGCCGCGGGGGCCTGGGTCTGCCGGCATCTGCGGAAGATGCCTCCGCTTGCACAATTACTTCACGAACTCCTTCCATCCAGCGCGCCACCCAACCCTATCACGACAACTATTCCTCTGGGCCCCCCACGCCTCGCCGTAAACCAATACGAAAGGTAGTTCCCACGAGTTTTTGGTGCGGAGCCCGGGTGGCGTGGACCAGTCCCTCCGCCCTCTTGGACCACGCGCTGGCAGTCTGCGCCGCTGTCCAGGTGGCTGCGTCGTTGTGCTTTCGGGCCCACTGTAAAGGGCGCTCGCCATGCCCCGCGTGGACCGATAGCTCATCCCATGCTGCCGCATGCATGTCACGAAGACCTCGGTGGAATACAAACGGCACGTTGTTCAACTGTAGCCATCGAGACAGCGCGACGGCGGCTCGCTTGTTGAAGCTGAGCGCCGTCTCCTCCGGCCGCCGCCTCATTCGGAACAGGTGTCACAGATTTTGCAGCTCCCAAGTCCTCAGGCGAGCCATGTTTTGCTGAGTCGCGTGCCATGTGCATCCTCCGAATATCGCCGCTGATACAACCGCTGCGCGCCAAGCTTGCAGCCGCTCCCCAACGTTACCTGGGCTCCTGAGGATTCTGCAGTGTTTGAAAAATTAGATGTCAGCCTGTCGCAAACGATAGTCCATGGAGCATTGAGTACCGCCTTCATTGTCGAACATGTCCCCCAGAAGCTTGGCCACGCTAACTGTTTGATAAACTTGCAGTATGTCGCCGTCTTGGACTGCCAATTGGAAATCCAAATCTGCTGCGGACCCCGCGGGCGGCAGGTACTCCAACGACTGCGTCTTCTGCGAGTGGCCAATGCTGTTCATGGCTCGTGTGAGTTCTTGCACCATCTGGAATACGACGGCACTAGAATACGACGCCGACGAGAAACAATTTCACACTGCACCGTCAGAGGAATACCCACCGCCACTTTGCGAATCTGTAGGCCACATCTCTCAAGATACCTGGACATCTCTACTTGAACAAGCACTGGCACCCGACTACATACACAAACAACTCAACAAGCTCTACATCACCATCAACCAAGAACGACAGAGACGACCGGACTTCGCAGGACGGGAGATAGAGTTGGCTGCTCATTCTGGGAACCTTCCTGGAGCCACTCGCCCTCTCGTGCGTCGAAGCTGCGTCGAACGTCCGTCGATTCGAACCGTCCTTTAGTCGAACCTGAGTGGAACCTGAGTCGAATTTGAGTCGATATTGAGGCGAACTGGGGTCGAACTAGAATCGAACAAATCCGTTCGGTGGGCCCCACGAGGGCCCCCCAAAACGTGCTACTGCGCGCACAAGAAAGCAAAGAAGAGCCGGACACGCCTGCGGAGATCGTAGAAGACCTGGGATAAGAACAGATCACGGGCCCGAGCCCACGCAGAGTCATACAACCGATGCGACAGACGACACAAACATGAATCAGAAGGAATACATCACACCAATCACACTTGGCGGTGAGCGACGAGGAGGTTCGAGGTTCGAGGTTTTCGGGCGTTTTCGTCGGCTCTCGGCGGTTTTCCAGCCCCAGGATGCTTGCCAGCAGCTGCGCCTCGCCGAAGGTGTTCTAGGAGTGCAGATCGTGCGGTACGGCCGTCAGAGACCCGATGCATGACCCCCAAACCCAAAAAACAATTTCGGCGGCAAGCGAGGGGAAAAATGAGAAGGAGAAGGCCTTCTCCGAAGGCGTCGGGACTTCTCAAAACCCTCGCGCCTTCAGGGGAATGTTCTGCGTCCTCGGGGAAGGTTTAGAGAACTTCTCGGAAGGCCAGAGAACTCCCGAGCCTTCTGAGAAGGCCCGCTCCTTCTCACTTTCCCCCCTCGCCCACCGCCGATTCACACCAATCAGCCAAGATTGCCCTACTCCGCGCCAACACTTGCAACACCTGCGCCTGACAGCACGGAGATCTACCGCTGAATGACACATGGCAGGATTTGGAGCGTACAGATCCACCAGAGCATGCTAGGCACGCCCGCGCACGTGGACCATTACCAACGCTACTGGGTACGTGCTGTGACCATCAAACATCATCACCATCGTCACATATTGCCACCCCTTACTCACGCCTGGCTGCCCTAGTTGCGATGCACGTTGAACAATTTAATGAGCCTGAAATCAGCAACCTCAAGCTACCTGCAACACTTACGAAAGTACTGAAGCACATGTACACCCAGCGCGGGCACGTGAGCGATCTCGTGCTAGTATGTTGGCTCGAGCTGCTCAACGACAGGTCCAACATGTACTTCCGTACCACAGGTTCTCGCGACATGGCGGTCACTACCAAGTACTGAACGGAGGTGCTCAAGGGCATCGCACAGGAGAAGACGTACGTGGAGATTGGCGTGCACGACGCGGACTCCGATGCGTCCATCAGTGGCTCCAAATACCGACGAGGGCCCAGAACATCGACTAGAACACGGGCGCCGAACAGGTCACTTTCAAGATCGCCGATCTGGACTACGCGATCCGCCATTACGTAAAAAAGGTAGGGTAGCCAAAACAAATGTGTCACACAGCGTCGGGCGACTACATTCCTTGACATCATACTAATTGACCGACGTGTACGCACAGTCCACGACGCCAGGTACCCGCTCGCATTCCTGAAGAAGGCGTCCAATTGCCGCACCAATGGAACGTGTACCTTACTTCGGCGGAGTGGCATGAGACGATCAACCGACCAGTTTAACACGAGGCAGCGGAGATCATCCAGGTAAGGGTGAATACTTCGCAGGAGCTCGACATGCGGAACTTGAAGGATGTACTACAGAGGCGCTGTTCTACATCTCAACATCAAGTACTTGGACCACTAGGTGATCTACGACTACGCGAACGAGGGCAAACGCAAATACAACGACGATAAAATCCACTGCGACGCGTACACTGCCACCGGCGACCAGTACTACCTGAAGCTGCGCTACCCCGATGGGGAGTTCGTACTGGAGGGCTACCACAAGCGGGACACGATCCCGTCCCGCAGCTACTACCTCGTGAAATTCATGGATGTGACTTTCGATCAACATATCAACGAGGAGTACGAGACCGATGGCGCGGATTACACCGTAAAGGGCGCCACCTACCACAAGCACCTTGTCCGCGAGACAAGCGCAAGGCGGACGACATTACCGAGTGAGCGGGCCGGCTGCGAGCTGAACGCTGCTTGGTACGACATACTATCGGTGCGCTTCCAGGTCTCCAGTTCCCCTGCATCCCCATGCACAGTCTTCGTCGACCACCTGTCCATCCCATGCGCAAGCAAAATGACATACAGTACTTCTCCGAAGGCCCCTATACCGCATGCCAGCGAGAGTATCCAGACGCAGCAGCTGAAGGCGAAGCCACAACCACAAGCACAGGATAGACCTC